ATAACTTGAAATGAAATCATTTATTTTTTATAAATGATACAAACACGCATGGGCACAAAAGAACATAATCATAATACAATATTAAACAATAAAAGGGAAATGAATGGACGTGTAAGTATGGGTGTTTACATACATTAGTGAAATTAAAATTTTCTGAGTATCTGTAACGTATATATAATCCAAATGATATAAAATTACAATTAAAATAATATTCATTGTGAGTAGAAAGTGAGTAGAGTACTTACCATCGTAAAGAGTTACTACACTGAAGATACCGCCATCATAAGGAAATTTTTGATTTGCTATGGAAACAAAGCTTTCAGTGGGTATCATGTAATCAGATTCTACTCTGCACATACTCTTCGCAGTTGAGTCATATACTACTAAACCTTTACCTCGTACATCAGCCATGAATACCTGCAGGTTTTGACAAATATCTATTTATGCATTTACATTCATTTTATTATAATTAAATCATTTAAAACGCAAAATACGAGGTGTATGTAATGTTAAACGCATAATTAAATAATATTTGCTTTGTCAAACATGAATATATATTATTATGATTTATTGAGGAGAGGACATACTAACAATCATTTTATCCAGAAAATGCGTACATTCACAGGAAACATAAACGAAAGGCGCTATCAATACCCCAGTACCCGTTGTATTACTAGCAATATCAAATGGAATATAAATAGTTTTTACTAGCGTATCATTTTTCAAGTTAAAGATCAACAATTTTGGATTACAAATCTGGTCAGGTCCAATTGTACCGCTATCCAGAACGAAGATGTGATTGCACCTAATCTGAGGTGAAAGCAAGAATTCTCTTTTATATATCATCGAAATGATTACTTTGTGTGCATGTAAATATACATAATATATAGAATGAACTATCGATCATTTAAATATTATTACAAATAAATATGTGTAAGATGTGGAAAAACCATAGAATGAAAGTTTGATACTTACGTATACCCGAATAACACTCACAATACCATCGCACGTACAACTATTATGCCAACTCCAATCCGGATATGGTCGTAAAAGTGGCCCCCCTGGTCCTATCTCATCTGTTACAGTCGCCAAGGTAGCAGGTGCACCAGGACCTAGTTCTCTTGACGCAGTAATGAATATTCTACCATCTATAAGAATATTAATTATAAATAATAAGAATAGTAAGGCTAATTAGAGCTATTCGCTGTAATTAGTTAATTATAAATATTAATTATAAATATTAACTATTAATTATAAATAGGACTCTCTTGTGTCAATAAAAGATATATTTATTACGCTAATTATATGACAGTGTTATTTCTTGCATTAACATAATTAAAGTATACATTTAAAAAAAAACGCATAAATATACAATATAATCAATAGTTAAATATTAAAGTAAGCTTTTGCTGTAATAAAGGCATCTCTACAGATAATCATTGCAACTTTTATAATTGCTATATCCATTTACCTTCTGCTTTGTCTACATCGTATAACGGGAACGCAGAACGATTGTACGTGCCAGAATTTATTGCGTCTTCCTTCTGTTCGTTACTTTCCCATGTGAAGTCGGCATATTTCCATTTGTATATATAATTTACTTTGATTCCAAAACCCTCAATTACCATACATAGAATTAATAGATCACGAAAGAGATACCTCATTT